TATACTGTTTCGAAGTAAGCGCGTAAAACTTAGTTTCTATCGAGTGAATTTTTTAGATACCGGGGAAGTTTCTTCTCGAGTAGAGAAACGGCTTATAATAAATAGATGTCGTCGAAATTGTTGATATTTAATATTCTTGTTATACGTGATTAATTGAATATATAGATATAACAAGTATGAAAAGTGATATCGAAACATGCCGCATTGGAAAAAAATTTCTGAATCGACGAGTAATGAATATCGGATGAGATATCGCGGTATTTAATAACGCTAAACACCGTTACATCACGAACATTGAGTATGATACATAGAATATCTTCTCAGTGTGATAGTAGCATACGGTTAATTCATTATCGTTAGGGAAACTGCTCGTGAATATAACAGTGGGAAAATAATACGAGAAACGTAAGAAATTATTTGCAAAAAATGCGAAGAAATGTGTCTTGAAACGTGTTTGATACGTCGATAAATATTCATAACTATCAGGGAGACATTTTAATGTTTGTAATCGAGTAGCTTGTAAATTTGCATTGCTACGCGTAGATCGTATATCGATCTAGAGTTATTATTAATTTTATTAAGACACGAAAGATATTTTATTCTTTATGAATATTTTCTGACGATTAAAAAGAATCACTTCATAACTAATGATAAACTAAGGATAAACTATCTTTTTGATACCCTTTTGTATTCTTTGCAATGTCTCACGTCGCGTTTATTTTTTTAAAAATTAAATATATGAGAGTCATCTAATGAAAAGAATTCTGACAGACTATTTTGTACTTGGTGAAATAAATAAAGTATAAAATCAACGCTCCACCGTGGTGTTATGGAATATTTATTGACTTGTACGAACGATTCGGATCTATTCGTTACCATCTTCTTGTCTATTCTGAATGCATATATAATTTCCATTTTTGATGATCATCAAATCTGAATTTCACAAACTTGGTACGAAAACCTTAGTAGTAGATATTTTGATACTGAAAATTCGTTGTTCTATCTTTCATCCGTAAACTGTGGACTTAATAATTCTATCAGTAATTTGCGTGACCAGAATCTACGAAGTATCTTATTAGCATTAGAAGTACGAAAAATATTTCTCCCCTCTGCTATATCGATTATGTCACGATGCCATTTAAAATAACAAATAGCGCCGAGAAAAGTTTCTCTGACATAATTCTCTTACGTTATTCGCAAGATAATCTTCTTCTACTCGCGGAAACAAACCACAATTCATGTCAAATTACAAAATAATCTTATAGATTGCCGAGATGGCAAGGACACGATTATTTCTTGCGCCCAATGAAAAAAGAAAAGAAAAAAGAGAAAGAGAAAACAAATTTTCATGAAACACGGAAGAAAACGCGTGAGATCTATAAAGATCCGAAGAAACGAGCTCCTTTGAACTCTGATTTTTTTTTTCACTGAAAATAGCTGAAATTAGCATTCTTCGAGTCTCCGGAAATGGTCATCGTGTTGCACATAAATATCATTACGACCTTCAATTCGTTATGTCACCGTTCCGTGGCTCGGTACAAAAGGAAAAAATTGAAGAATTTATCAGAGAAGTCGTGTATCTCGACACACATCTCGATCGATGATGTTTCAAAGAGAGTTTTTACGCGTTGATCGTGATTGTAGTTGAGGTGCGGTAATGATTGCTGTAATTCATCCCTGAAGAGAAGTCATGCACGTTTCCCTTGTGAAAACGTGTGGTATTTGCTCGATGGTTTCAATCGTTTCGTAACCGAGCAGAAGATGTTTAGTCTCGTTAACGTCTCGTTCGATTGTTGTAATCCTTTGTTTAAGACTGTTTTGGCTTTTTTGCTTTTTAATCTCGATTAGAGTCGATCTATGATAAGGGTAGACTGCGATCGTCGATGCATATGTCGCGTTTGTTTTTAAAAACTGAACTCTCAAATACGACTGTGTAGTTTTCTACGATAATACATAATTCATTAAGCAGATAATAAAGTTGATAATAAAGTGGATGGTTACAACAGTTTTTACAAGATATAAATTATTACTGACATGCTCCATAGCCGTCGACAGCAAAAAAAACAATGATTGTTGTATATCGTAAATTATTAATTAATTGGATAAGTTTCCCTTTACTTGTTATATGTATATTATTATGTGATATATAACGCACAATAATATGTATAATAAACATTGTACTATAAAGTACGCAGTAAAGTTTTTGCAATTTGAATTGCAATTTGTATAGAGCAGGAGAATTACAATAAAAGAGACAAAATATATAGGTTTTCAATTTCGTATTGTGCTTCGGGCTACACCGTCATTAGGTTACATTTTACCATCAGCTTGTTTAATGGTCATCGAGAGACAATAAATTACAGCGAATAACAAGGATTAAAAGAACTACAATCGCGCATTTTCTACCGTAACTTACAATACTAATTTCGATTTATCTATCTCGCATAAATTAGAAATAACTATCAGTTAACATACACGATGAGACTAACGTGACGCATCTATTTTGCAAATCGTGTTTCCCGTGACTTTGGTAAAGGAGACGGTGATCTTTTGACTTCCTGTTCTAATTTTCTTCTTTTGAACACTTTCCTTTTTTACTCTCGCGAAAGAAATGCAGTTATGTAAAAAGTCGTTTGATTGTCGATTCGCGGACGTCAATTTCATACCTTTAACGCTTCGAAACGCAAATCTTCGGTTATTGCAACGTCATTTGATTTGCACAGCTGATGGAACGAGTAGGGTACGTGCCGGACATTTAAAACACATCTGGTGGACTCAATTGCGAAACAAACAGCGATATTCGAGACTCGGTTTATGGATTGGTTCTTGAATTTCGTACAAGCGACACCGTTATCGACAGTTTTGAAAACAATCAGCAACTCGATAAAGGAAACACGAAATTCAAACGAACGACGCGCTTACGGACTGGCATTTAATCGTACGATCCTATGAAATTTCCAAGATATTTCATTACGATATCCCTGCGTGCGTAATTCAATTTGTTTCGAACATAGATACGATTTAAAAAGTATATTTCGTTGTATTTCATTACATCTTTTGAAAGCACTAGATTACGTTACGAAGGAGCGTCGTGGTGACGATCGAAGCATTTAATAAACGTGTTCATCGCGGAACTAAACTAGTTTTATTTTCAGAATCAAACGAATGATCTTATAAACTGGAAACATGTGTTGGAAACACGTCTAGTAAATAATAAATAATATTTCGTAATCGAAAGGCATAGAAAGGTGGTTTAATTAGAATTAAACGATAAAGATGGTAATAAAATAATAATAGTGTTTCGTTAATTAGAAATTACTCGTATGGAAAATATCCATGACACGATACAGATTACAAGGAAATTAAGCCAGCTTGGAACTCGCAGCAGGTTAATGTACGACAACCGCGAATTTCAATAAATCACGAGCAAAACAGTAGAAAAAGATCGAACCCGTGGATAATCAGCTACCTGCTCCATCGCGTATATGCAGAATTGCGTAACCTGGCGATGCGTAATTACCATCTCACTATACCGCCGTTTCCGACACACGCGCCAATTTGAATTATTCATTTCCCCGCAACAGTTTATTCGTAGCTTTGATTTAAGATCGAGCCTCTCATTAAAAAGTAACAGAAAGTGCCGTTACGAGAAATTTTCTAATTATTCTTCCGCTTATCTTTTATTTCTTCTTCGATCGCATCGGGAATCGGTATCGTATTAAACATCATAGATACCTATATTTGGTCGTCATTGATCCTTCAAAGCGGAAACTGACGTACAACAGCGTAACATTCATGGTGTGTGGCGTGAATTGTTAAACCGTTATGTAAAAGTCATGACATTCGTATTGACACATCATCCACTGTCACGGCTACCGTTTCTTGTCCACTGTCAATAACCAAGCCTTTATTAGAGAGTCCCTCGTTCTAAACATCTCTATTCCGAAAATAGTACCGCATAATCGAAATCTGAAGAAAATGGTCGCGTTAACATGATGTACAAATCCATTCTTCAGGATTTTACGATTTTTATGTTAGTCTGATTGGTCGGAGGAAGAAGATTTAGTATGAAATGCGGACTGTACGTAGTACAAACGGACGAAATCTTGTAGAATTAATATTGCAACGATTAATATCACTGCTCGTAATATAGTAAAATCTATCAATCATAGTACTCTATCAATTGATTTAATTCTTGTGCATATCGCTTTTGGAATATAGGCGGGAGCTTTTCCACGTCTCTGTAAATAATTTCATAGCGCGCGTAATGAACAATTTTCCGAAACTCAAATATGATTTTATAGTGTTAAAAGGAAGAGACAACAGCGTTCGTCGTTATGCTGTAACTAATGGAAAACGTCGTCTATCATCATTTTCCAATAACTCGAAGTAACGAAGTGGGTCTAGAAGTTTGTTTCAAATAAATATTTGCACCCGTTCGACCAGCTAATGGCTCGTGTTACCGGATGTAGTACAGTACTCGATGATCGTACACAGAAAAAATCAGCTGACCCCAGCTGAAGTGCAAAGTTGGTCGTCTCCGAGCAACGGTATTTTCATGGAATAAATGTGTCATAATCGATTTGGTAAAGTTTGGCATGCCTTCTGCCACGAAATTCGTATCGCCATTGTAAACCTTGATTAACATTCGATCCAACTTTCTTCCGATTATTATCGCTCCGTCCTCGTTAACGTTTTATAATGCCATGACACTCGCAAGAAGTATACGCTCGTACTTACAATGGCGTGTAAAATTATTTTTAAACCGACGGATATTATATATTTTCTCGAAAAAGCTGCGTCAATGAAATTTTAGTCGAGCCGATTATATTTGCTTTATTCTCTTTTCTTTTTTTTTTTTTTTTTTTTTTAATTCATATTTTGAATTATAATGATACTATGATAAATAGATACTGCCTTGTTATATTTATCGTTACGTCATATAGGTCGCAATAATACGTCGAAATGTTGACTTAGGAAGCGCAATCACTTTTTTTCAGTGGGAATAAAAAGCATGCAACGGTGACGTTGTGTAGTTAAAAAAAATATGCGTGGTGCTTGATGCCATTCTCAATATTTGACTGGAAGCATACGCTGTTATTACTTACGAAACTCTTGCACACGACTGATCGTTCGTCGAAAACGACAAAATGATGCTGATCAAGAGTTTCTTCCGGAGGATCATCAAAGACTTCCGGCACAAGGAGTTGCTACCTCTTAAAATGATATTCTTCGTTCAAGCATCGAGTAAGTATTTATCACGATTGATCGATCGTCAATTAAAGTTAATTGAACAGCAAGTGTTGATATCTCCACTTTTCGTTTTATTCGAAAATTACGCGAATGAGTCTATAGATTTGTTGCAATCTGATCCGTTACAATGATTATTCGAAAAACATTTTACTGAAAATTTATATTGTTATTTTTCCCGGAATTTTTTTTATCGATCATAACACAGAAGTTGCTATTCTTTGACCAGACAAACCAAATAAACCAATATTGTTGGCGGTAAATTGCAAAAAATTACGTGGAAGTTTAAAAATACATAGGAGAACGTAATTTCTTAGGACAACATCGAAAGTTGTATTCGTTAAAGGATAGATTCGGTTCATATACTCACTGAAGCATAAGTCAGATAGATATATCCATTAAATCATAAGTTAGTACGTTGTATATACATTGAAATATCCACTAAATCATTCTCTCGACAGTAATATATATGTTGAGCGGTATTTCTCGTTGCCAATTTACTTTGACCACATTTTACACCTTCTTCGTGAATAATTTGAAGGAAAAACCGCAGTGCTGATTTAACTTTCGCACTTGGTAAGGTATTAAATTCTGTTTTTAGAATAGAATACTGTTTCCGGTATATTTCCATCTCTTTCTTGATTCATTTCATTCTTAATCTGTGATAATTTATCTACATCCATTTACGTTTTAATTCTATATAAGGTAATAGTAATTCTATAATAATTTATTTATGTTTATCTATACGATAATTAAATTATTGATAAATAATTAAAATAAACACTTTGCTGTATTTCAACTAACTTTTTCTTCAATTTTCAATCTCTCTCGAGATTATTACGTTTTGCGTAATGTAACAATACTATCTTTAATAATCGTTTTCAGCGCTTTATGTACTTTATCCATATTTGACGATACACATGAGGGAGCTTGGCATAAACGTGGAAGAAACTGCCATAATGAGCGCCATAACGCCAGTGATCGCAATGGTGATGCCACCCTTGGCTGGAATGTTCGCCGATCGCGTGGGAAATTTCAAAGTAAAACTCCATTAAACGATCGCGATATTTCCATATGCGCCACTCGAATACCAACAAACTGTAGATATTAGATTACCGCGCGCAATAAACCACGAAAGCTTCGATCAACCATTGAAAACCACACGAATCGACACGTTTTTTCTTTTCTTATCGCATAAGTTCGTCGACTCGAGCTTCGAGAAGAAACTGACGTTTTTTACACACGTAAATATCAACGTCGATAATTGTATCACGGGATAATTGCAATTTCTCGCTTAGAAAAATGTCGATTCGTTTAAATCGCTTATCGTTTGCTACATTCTCGATGCGAATAATAAATTGCTTGTATCGCTTAACTTTCTATAGCGCTTTCGAATACCATAATTCTTCTAACGATCGTTGCTCGAATTTCATCTCTCGATTTATCGTTTGTTGGCGATAAGATGGAGCAAAAGAGGAAGCAAACCACTGACATCGAAACTATGTTCTCATTCAGATCTTATTATCTCTGTTCTCATCGTTTGGCGGAGTCGCGGCCCTTTTATTGCTGCTCGTGCCGATCGGTAGGATAACAGTGGAATTTCCAGACAGAGTCGTTATGGACCTCGGCTGTACAGGGAATAATGGGTTGCTTTACACCATGAGCGAAAATCATCCTTGCGAGACCAGCTTGCAGTCCAAGATCTCCACAAGGATAGAGAGTTGCGGGTAGGTAAGGATACGTGTTCGAACGATTCTGCGTTTTTATACTCGAACCAATTCCGTTGTTCATTGAATATCCGATAACTCCGTTTATTCTTTTTTTTTTTTAATCTTGTTAAAAATTAAGTTAGTATCGTACGTTGACGATCGTTTGATCTAAACTTGCGTTTAACTTTGCGGAATCATAGATGTTCGATGGAAGATATATTAATCGTAATATCGTTCAAAAAATGTAAGCAATACGATTCTCGTGAGAGAATCAGCTGTTTTGCTCGATTCGATACAGTTCCTTTAACCAAATACGGCGTATTTTCTGAAATACGTTTTAAATAATATCCGCAATTACAATGGCAACCCATATTAACCTGAATTTTATTTCACGAGCAAAACTAAAATCGTCTTACGCAACGTTAAATATCAACGTATACGTCATTGTGGCTTTTAATTAAAAACGTTTAATCTACCTTTTTATAGTTACATGTGTCGTCTAGACGTTCGTAATGACACCGAAGTGCAGTCAATTTTGTCGTCAAGGCTGTACACGATTAAACGATACAACATGGAAACTGGCGCGAATTCTTCGTTCAGGTTTTCGATTGCTCAGGACGAATTGCCACAGGTAATTGATTTAAGCAATTTTAAGTAATCGATTCCACGTGGTTTATGATATCTCGTAATTGGAATGAAGTAATTTTAATTGATCTTTAGCAAAGAAACGTAGAAAGAGAGAGAGATAATTTTGATAAAAATTATACATTACGTTCTTTTAACCGATACAATTTTTTACAGGAAATAGAAGAAGACCTAAGGGAGCACCGGAAACTAAAGAACAACGAGTACTTCAGGACGTCGATTCGTCAACTGTATGCAAACGAGTACTTCTTTCCATCGAATCGACTGTACGAGTTTTCATGCACCGTGTCGGGATTTATCGAAGATTTCGAAATATCGACCCTAGAACCTGCCATGTCGAACAGAATATACGAGAACCGAACTCTCTGCACTTTCAATCCGGTTATATCACGAGAGGTGAAGTACATAGACAGACTCGTTTAAAAAATACACGATACTTGTTTAAGAAATAGAGAAAGTAGAATAATTGTGAAATAATGGAAGAAAATGTCTATTTAGTAACGCGCATACTTCGAAAATGAGAGATACTTTTGTGTTTTATTTTTTATCGATATATTTATGTAATACCTGTTAGTATTTTTCTAGATATACTTTTTAATTATCTTTTCACACTCGATATATTTCACACGAAGAAGTTTCGAACGCAGAACGAATTAGCGTAACTAATATTCATTTTTAAAAAACGTTCTCAAAACAAACACTTTTCCTTAGTTCAGTGAAAATGAAATTTGCTCGAAGATGATACGACTGCCAATGAGAGATGCTTTGTCGCGAAATTGATTTAAATAAGAATCAACCAGTATGGGATTTTTCGATCATTTTTTCTGTCATACGTTATGCTTCGTTATTCCTCGTGTATTAATCACTGTATGTTATATAACTTTCAGGACAATGCCAGTCGAACGACGAATTATCATTCGTACAAATCGAAGTTGAAAACGTTGGAAGCCACGGACGAAGATTACGGGATGAAACGACGAAGATACCTATCGGAAGAAATCGCGTGGACAGGAAACGAATTTCAAAAGATCACTTGTGGGAATCCTGATCTGGATACAGACAGGATATCTGTGACTCTACCACTTTTTAATTACTCCGTCAGCTCCGAGCCTTACAAGATCCTAAACGCGGAAGACTGCGGCAAAAGATGTATCGTCACTGCGCCTCGTAAGGAGATGTGCACGAACAAGAAGACAGTGATCGAATACAACATAGGAGTAACTTTCTGGATGTATTTCGCCATTAGAGTATTTATCGGTATATTGCATCTTTATTGCATTTATAAATATTGCATCTTTTATTGTTTCCTCTCAAATTGTCTTACTTTTTTTTTTCTTTTCATTAAACGTAGAACGACGTCTCGAAATTTATTCGCAGGTGTCATCGGTGGAACTACGTTCGCTATGTTCGAAGGTGCGGTGATCGCTATATTGCGCGAACAAAAGGCCGATTATGGTCTTCAAAGAATTTATGGCAGTATCGGTGGCATGATTTCGTCGCCACTGTCTGGCCTGCTTATCGATTACGCGAGCACTGGCAAAGAGTACACGGACTTCAGGTAAAGATTCATCGTTTCAAAGACGTTTAGTCGTTTCGTTTCTATGAATTTGTAAAAATGATATATAATATAGAGGTAATGTAGAAATTCTCAGAAATGACATACATTTTGCAGGCCAGCGTTTTATTTGTACGCAGGCTTGAAGCTTATCTCAGGACTGTTAATGCTCGCCATTAATTTGGAATTCAAGTCACCGTCTACAAATGTGGTTCGCGACGTTTTCACCGTGCTAAGGAACATCGAGGCCGCGGCTCTCTTTATCGCCTGTTTCATTCTCGGTAAGAATCTCTACGTCAATAGCAATAATTAATGTTAACATTGATATTAATAGTAATATTAGTAGTGGTAGCATTAGTAATAATTTTTTGTTTTGACAATTTGATGTAAAGCGGGAGAAGAAATTGTGCCCTGTTGAATTATCGGATCGTAGGAGTTCTTAACTTGCTGTGAACTTGCAAAGCTCGAATAAGTTGCGTAATCTTCGTCATTGCTGGTTTCCGCTAATTTTTGATGCACTGATCGACTAATGAAATTGCAGTGACATTGACATTCCTCATCGATGCTGCGAAATTGCGCGTACTTTTTAAAGTAATTCGATTTTAAACGCCGATTGCGTTATACTTCCTCTTTCATTCGTTTTAAATGCACAAAGGTACTTTTAAAACGTCAAGTATAATTTTAAAATTTGTCGTTTCTATCGCAAAATCGTTCGATAGATTTTTTTAAACACATTGAATGGTGTTACAAATATGAAATTATCGGACGATCTTTATAGCGACTACAATTTTAAATCTCCGTTATCCTTAATGATCGAAGTTCATAATTTGTTTAAAATTTATATTTTCTTGTTGTAGGACCATTTAAAAGATTTCTTTGTAGGAAAACTGCGCAGACGACGAATTTATCATTTCGTATAAATTTTTATCAGAAGATCTAACGTTTTCTATGGTGTTCGCGTGACTTGGAACATCCATCAAAAATTTTTAGAACTTGAAACGTTAGTCACGTTAATTGACGTTTCATTCTTGTTAACATCAATCTTAATTTGAGGAGTGAACATATCGAAACGTATCAATTAAAATTGGAGAATATCGAGTCGAGGACTAGCTTGAAAAGTTAATGGAACGCGTAATGGATTCTACAAATTTCATTCATAACGTCGTTCTTAATCATCCCCGAAACATTCCGAATTGTAAGCACTGCGAGAAAATTCATTTTCTCGTATCTCAAAAAGAAAAAAGTGTGCAAGTATTCTCTACAGTATAAAATCACAATGTATCTAACCGAGATATACTTACGCGTCATTAATCAAAAACTCTGGTCAGTTTTTCCTTCGTCGTGATAAATATTTATGAACACAACAAATTCTAAGAAGCGTAAACTTCTTTAAAAAGAATATCTCTGCTTAATGAGCTTAACGCGACCAATACGTTATAGCCTGATGACTTTGTCGAGATAAATTCTTTTTTTCTACAGGCACCGCTTGGGGATACATCGAATCGTTCCTCTTTTGGTTGATACAAGATTTAGGAGGATCAAGATCACTCATGGGCATCACCATAACCGTAGGCGGTATTGCCGGTATACCATTACTGGTACTATCTGGTCCAATCATATCAAAGATCGGCCATGCCAATGTACTTTTTATAGGCTTCGTTTTTTACGCCATAAGACTTTGCGGTAAGCGTTCATTTTTAATTCTTACGAGTCTACTTCATCTGCATGATGCTCCTGATAAACGTATGATAGAACTTTCTTTGCCCTGGTAAAATGAAAAAACAACTGGCTATTAAGCAACTTTATTTAGGCATGTTTTATATTTTGGAGTTTGAGGTAGCCGACTCGAGGATAACGTCACTTAGCATAACGCCAGAGCAACATGTATGTAAATGAAAGAATAAGGAAGTCGATGTTAGGATGTTTAATCGACAAGTTTTACGAAGATTATGCGTTGCTTCTTTGGTTCACTAAATTATAGCTGGCTCGACGAGGTGGCAAAAGAAAGAGAAAAGGAGAATGCGATCTTAGAAAAGATTATAAATTTTTATGGTAGCGTGTAAAGGTAGATACATAGATACAAAGAACACGATAATATAGAATGGACAGGAAATAGTGATGCAATAACACGTTAGAAATAAAACGACACGAGATAATGCAACACATACACGCGCATATAATTTTAAGAATTAAATCTAGATGGTATTCGAAGCTAGTGAATTTGTATGGACGAAACAGATATCTTTCACTCGCCACTGTGATACACTTGATGTATTTAACGTATTTACTTTGCCTACTTTTTACCATGATTTTTTATTACCGTACCTGGTAATTAGGTTTTCATATAAAGTCATTATATAAAGATGTAGAAAAGAACTTGCTTTACGTTTCATTGATTTTTAACTGTTTTTTGTTTTACAGGATACTCCTTGATATACAATCCTTGGCATACTCTTATTTTCGAAGCGTTAGAATCTGTCACCTTGTCACTTAGTTTCACCGCCGCTGTTACTTACGCAGCGAAATTATCCACTACGACCACTGACAGTTCGATACAGGGATTATTAGGCGGAGTTTATTACGGAGTCGGTGAGAAACACTTTCTCTTGGATAATTTTACAATCTTTTTTGCCCTAGATTTTTAACGCGTTAACCTTCCATCGCTACTGAATTTCTTTCTAAACTTGTTAATTTGTGCTCGTAACGCCAACGTGGCGTCATCAGCAGTCAATTGATATTAGCTCGTTACTTAGATCGATACTCGTAGATTTGACAACTACAAATCGTTTCGACATAATTATCTTTGAAAATAATATTTTAGTATTTATTTTCAAACGTATTTATCGTGTCTTATTATCGTTCGTTGTCATACTTGTTACTTTCGTTTAAGATGAAAAGCCTTCAAATCTAATTTCGCGTTCCTTAGATGCATAAACGCCACGCATTGCTCTACCGTTTTAATTATATCGTTATACGATTATATATAATTGTAATAATTATACCGCGAATTTCTATGCAATTTCATATCCTTCGAAACAAAAGTAAAGGAGTGGAAATTTGCTTCGCTTACTAACAATCATAACGAGTAGTTTTATTGTATATTTATAACAAATTATAATATCTATACACTGTATATATATATATAAATTCCGTGCATTTTCCTACTTTTACACGATAACAGACTACAGTCTACCAATAACGATCATTTCTTTAATGCTTCTAGGCAAAGGTTCAGGAAGCTTGATCGGTGGATATCTAATGAAAGCCTTTGGCACTCGACCAACCTATCGAATCTTCGCAATGATAACTCTCATCACCGGTATAATGTACTACATCTTCAACGTGGCTTACCTGAAAAAGCAGCCACAAGTGGAAGGTAACGACATCGTGAAGAAAAAGCCGAAGAACCTCGGCAATCAAAACGGTGTTGAAAATGGCATCATCGAGATCGCTTTGGAGGAAAAGAAAGGCGCGAAATACGACGATGATAAGAACGAATCGAGCAATCTAACCGGAATCGACAATCAGGCTTTTAGCAAGGAAGAAACGGATAATCGAAAGACGAACAATCTGGAAGCTATCAATAACGCGAAGAATCTTGACAAAATCGAAAAAATGCCATCCGAAACGAGTAAGAAGTTCGGTGTGAAGAGGTTGAAAAGGATGCAAACCGACGAACGTGATCGAGCGAAGGAATGCTCGAAGCAGAACGGCGCGACGAATCAAAGCTTTGAGAACGATCAATTTAGGTGTAACGTCACCGTAGAGAGACAACCGGAAGACAAGAAGTGACGAAGTTGCACCAGAGATCTCGATACTCTTTCCTTTCTTCGTTCTTTATCGCGAAACCACCTTTGTACCATCGGACAGGTATAATATAGAAATGCGAACGTAATCTGGCCCGTGTACGGAAATTTCACACTGTTCAAGTTTCTACACGTTGCTCGTTAGCGAAGGTTGCCGAGTTAAAGATGGATTGGTGTTGTTGGGAATTATTCGAGTCTAGTTAATATCTGCACAAAATTCAAGAAATTCCGGTGATCGTTGTCGATTTCGTCTGAAAGAAAAGAAATGTAATTTACATATTTCTATAATACGAAGTATTGAAAGTTATAAGTTATAGCATGATCCAGCGACTGCATTTTTGTAATAATTAAAAGAATAATTGTTTGTACTTGTACTGCACCATCGAATATCCTTTGGAGTACATAATCGTTTTTTGAACTAAATCTAAACACTCGAATGGTCCGATTTAAATCCCAATTGGAGAAGAAAACGATATTACTTAGGAAAATTTCATAAGAAGATTTAAGCACATTAGATAAAAGTATGCTATAAATAAATGTATTGTTAATGATCGTATATGGTATATGATCGAATTTAAGGTAGTGATTGAATTTGTTACTGTTGGAACAATCATAAAAAGTATACCAATCCGAAGTGTTAAAAGTTGTTTATCCATAGTTGAATCTCGCCCGAAAAATTTCTTCGGGATTACTTCGTAACAAATAGCATCGTGCATGTACTTCACACAATGTCAGAGATCGAATTAATTTTATTATGCATTTTTAAGCATTCGAGAACGCGTACAGAGATATGAAATGTAACATTCTACTTGTACTAAGCCTAAGATAATGTAAAATCTTTATTTTATACGTATTTTTCCTTAGGATAACATCAAATTAGTATTGATATTACGTGTAAAAGCGATTTATAATAATTTTTGCAATAGTGATACAAAGTTGTTAAATTATTAATAGATGAATCTATTTGACGTCATCGTGGGAAATTGTGGAATTATTGCAAAAATTTATATGAGTACTATTGTTAGAGATGTTAAACAGCAAACGCCGTATTATTAAAAAGTGGAGTTTTAGATTTCTAATTTAGAATTATGATGTAATCTACACAACTAAATTATTGATATTTGACGTAAAAATTAATTTTCTCTTGTCTTAGATATTCAAAAGAGTTCTCTTAAAGTTAAAATCTTTATTAACAGAACATTTAATTACATACCATATAATTATAAGATGTTACAGAAAATATTGCTTTGTAAGATATTAATTTATTATAAAAGAGTGAACACTGGTAGACAAATATTGGCAATATTCTACTTTGAAGAAATATATACTTATTATCATTGATACTAAAAAGAAGAGTATAGACAATTTTGATATAATATATATATGTATATTTCAAGAAATATTAATTAAAAAAATATAGTAGAAGTATAGTTGTAATAATAAATTACCCTAAGTAAATGTTATTATTAGAAGCATTATGAAAAAAAAGTAAGCGTTAGTGACATAAAAATACTCATGCTGACAAGTATAATACTAATTACGACAATAATATGGGATATTAATATTCCAAACATCGTATAAGAATAACATTTATTTATAACATTTATTATACCAATCGGTTAATTAAAACATACTAATAAAGTATTGTAATCGCGTGTTTTCTAACAGAACACGGCACATACTCAAATATCTCTAACAATACGAATTGTAGAAATCTTTTTTATAATCGTGTATCAAGGTAATCGTAAATTGTATACAATTTTGTGTAGAAATTATTCACAGAAATCGATTATCTATATCTATACACAGTGAGTCACCTAATAATTTGAACTGAAATATTTCCTATTACTATTAATTGTACCGAAAGATGTTTCAGATAAAAGGTATATGACTTCAAGGAGGATGTATTTTGATGTTTCTAACTTTTCTGTAGGTGAACACGTAAAGCTCATGTGGAGATCAACTTTGCCATTTTAAACGGAATCATATATTTTTTTAATAGATTTTACAGCATCGAAATTATTTCAGCTCAAACTCCTAGACGACTCACACTGTACAGTAACAAATTGTTTTTGAATAACAGACTTTAAAGACCAAGGGAATGAAGTTTTAATATATACAAGCAGGTTGTCAAAATAAACGCAAGCGCGTTATAAAATTATTTTTAAACGATAAGAAGATAATGACAGTTCTCCAACGGGGAACCATAATGTGATATAATTATGCAGGAAATAGCGCGTAATTACGAGTCTCCATAGTGTACGATAACCGAGTTACATCGTTTATGAGCAGGATAATTAAGAAAGGATTACTCTGCTCTATCGTAGTTCGAATAGAAAAATAAACGAAAATATAAATAACCAAGATTATCTTTCATTACTTCGAACTCTTTCATAGTATTTCATAGTATTCATAGTCCAACAACGTGAATATGTTACAGGTAAATCGAGGAGCATGAAGATTAGAAATAAAAAGAAAATATCGAATGAAATATCCTATAAATTCGTAAACACGCGCAATTCACAACTGCTCGTAACTTCTCTCAATCAATGAACTTGCACGTCTGAACAATCGTTTTCCGGTCAAGGACGGATCGACGATGGTTGATTTCCTTCCTGGTTGCAATTCATCGATCTCGATCATCTCGTAACGGTGTGTTATAATTTGCCAAACAGATTAGAAGGGTTTTGTCGAGCCTCGTTCCGTCCAATTAACACCATCGATACGCCTAGAAAATATTTTGTCCCCTCGAATCAAATCCCATTGCACTGGCCAAAATCGAACGACGAACGCGCGCGATTCATACGCAACAAAGACAAAAGAAAAAGTAGAAAAGAAGTAGAAAAAGTACGTCTGATAATGAAGTTTAATTTCTGTTTTCAGATTAGCATGAATGTCTTTGGGCAGAGAGGGGAAAAAATTATAAGTGGTGTTAAGTAGCGACGGCAGGTGAAAATGGAGTTGGACAATAAATTAGCACAAGTCGTTGGTGAGGTACAGTTACGAGTCTATATAGAAGACTGGCAAACCGAGTTGCTCGATCATTCATCTTTGAATATCGTGGAAGATGATACGCGCATTTATCTCGCTGTTTTTAGCGAGTCTGTCGATCGTCTCGGTCTTACCCCAAGTGACGTCATATGCAAAAGTGTCGAAGAATGGTCAAGAAGAACCGCAAGCAGGCAACGATCCGTGGATCGTCAGGTTAGATAACATCGATCGGTAGACCGGTGAATTTCTACGCGAGTTCGTGTTTCTCGCGAGCACGCGTTTAATCGTACAAATTTGTTTCGCTCTCTGAAGTTTTGTCTAACAAGTACTTTGCTCTGGATATTTTAGATATTTCTATGTATCACGACCATTTTGTATATTATCATTTTTGTATATTGAAATTTCCCATAAGTATATGAATGTTCGTGATTTAGGGATGAATTGGAAAATGAGTAAACGTTTGAGTTTATATGTTTCTCTTCTCCTTTTTTTCGGTTTATATAAATAGACGTTTCATATCACGTGATTCTACGTAAAAGTATAGTATCAGACTAATATTGTATTTTTGCTTGTTTCTATGCAACGAAGAAATGGAACGGAAGCGGAAGGTAGGAGTATCAAGAACATCGCGATCACTATGTCACCGGTATATATTTCACCGAAAATCCAGAATCTGAGGAACGGCGAAGCGATCAACTATTCCCCTGGTAGAAGGTGTGAGAGAGAATTTGAAGATTGTACGAATTTGGAAAGGAGAAACATTTGAAGATTTGAATCTGTTTAAACGCTCCGATATTAATAAAGTTTAAGTTTAGTACAGAATTTATACTTGAAGAAAATTCACCGATTCGTGTTTAAATTGGAAAAAACGAATTTAGGAACAGTGCACAAAGATTGAACTTTATATTTATTTTTGAATAATAAAATGGAAGCTTGAGACGAGACGCTTGAAAATCAAATTCGCAAAATAATTTGACTAAAGAGACGCGAAAAGCTGAATTTCTAAATAAATTCCTGGCGAACTGGAGCGTTTGAAGTCAAATATAAATTGTTTCTCGAGTACGTTCCGTAACTTCTTAATGCCTTTTCTTCGCGTTTTCCTACATTGTTCCATATTTCTCTTCGAAACACCCTTTTTACGCTTTCTAATTTACAGATACTCGACGTTGGACCACGAATTAATAGCACAATTGAACGCAAAGAAACAGATTCAGGATAGATACCATCCAGCACCGCTGCTTAACTACAAATCCAAGAAAGAACCATCGAAAGACACGGAGGACAGTTCGAAACCTTCGAGTGGCCCAAATGGTCCACCGACCGGTCCATCGTCTTCGGGTATGTTTGAATTTTCTAATCCAACGTTTTCAGAGGGCTACGACTATAAGCCGCTGGATTACCCGAGCAGTAAGCCGATTTCAAAGCCGCCGGATTACCTCAGTGACAAACCGATCTCCAAGCCAATGTCCATGGACGATTACGCAGATTCTGAGATAAGCGACAAGGTACTTTGAATATCAAAACATCATCCTACTTTCCTTTTAGTAATGAAGAAAAGCTTACTTCTGAAAGTACCTACGTATCCACTATTTCCTTCTACGAAGCTATATCCGTGGATCACTAAGAGATGAGTTAGATAAATCGTTAAATTGATCTATAGCTGAGTAAATGATAAATTAATCGACAATCAACTTTAATGGGATACTTCTTCGTATCGAACTCGTCTTTGTTGAAAAACTGCGCGAAGAGAATCAGAATAATTATTATAATTACGATCTATACATATATCACTGCAATTTTTTCCAAACATTTTTAATTAACAATTTTCCTGTATATATATATATATATGCGTACGTTGTAGCGGAATCTCGCACGACTAGAAAATTCTGATGAGATTTTCGTTTCATTGATCAACGATTAATAAGTTATCAGGTATACCATGGATGAAAAATTCACTCGGGAAAAGAACACCGTTTCCTAAATTCCATCGTACATAAGCTTCGACCCTAAAACTTCCCGATATCCCAACTTCAATTCCAGCGAAGCAGTCGCACCGCGTCGCCGAAGCTCACGTAAATCATCGTTTTCAGCCACCAGATTCCTACAAACCGGATTCCTACTTCGCGTCCCACGACCATGACTCCTCCGACTACTCCGACAATCCGCCCGACACGTCTTACAACAATGACGCAGCACCGAAACCGATCAAGTATTCCGGCCATTTGGATCATCCTCCCTTCAACGACGACGACAACAACGACGACGACTCTTATGGCCAGCATCACGACTTCCATCACGAGGTGATCTACGATCACATTCCTGAATACCACGAGCACCAGACAATGGCACCAGAAATGAACGATCAAAGACTGAACAAGAGGCCATATTCGTATTACTACGTAGGCAAGAAGCTTTGGTACGTTCCACTGTACTTCAGCATTTATTTTATCATCTACATCGCGGCTCTGGTGTTGAAGAGCATCGCCAGACACAAAATCACGTTCCCTGAGCATCTAGCGGATGCTGTGACGCATACAAGATCGTACAGTGATTTTAGTTGGTGGGATTTTGCGGGAGAAACGCTGCAGAGTATCGAGAGCTTCGTCGACAAGTATGGAAAGATTTCTTAGGGTATTTTTATCGATCGTTTGCGGATCGAGGATCGATTTAGAGTGTCGAGATAGCAATTAAGTCGATGTTGTTGGAATATAGTCGATAAGTATATAGTTAAGTATGTTATCGGTTTGCTAAGGATATACAGTAGCTATTTGTTGTACATCGTTGTTACTTGTCGTTATACATCTACGTATTAATCGATTAGGTGAAAGTAGAGTGAGAGTCAAAAGTGAGTATACACCAAAAGAGAAAAGAAAAAGTTTCGTATAATAGTGATTTATTTATATATTTACCTTTCGTCCGATGAACGAAAGATTGCAAGTACTCGTGCTCTCTGTTACATAGATCGTTTGTTAATGGAAAATTAATCGAGTCAAGAATTGTTCTTGAACAGGCGATGATACATATTTTTTATTTATAAAATGACAGTAAACAATAGCATAACGTAGACCTTTCGCAGAGCTTAGACCGTAATACATTGATTTGGAGCTACTCTACGGTACGAGCAGTGATTTTGTGCGTGTACGTGTAAATATTATTTTATAGTCAAGTCTTGTAAATATCGAAAAGCGCTTCTAATAGACTATTTATTTAAAAGTTACACAGAACTCCGTTCATTAACACAAATATAACGTTACAGCGATCCCCAGCGATCCATCCGACCGAATCCATCGAGAGTTCGTAAAACGATAGCGTTGGTCGAATACCGAAAAATATAGATATATTTCCGAATAACGAATTAATGTAAGTGAGGAATAAGATTTAATACGTTCGGATGTATTCATTGCTAAATAGTTAGCATATCTCTGTAAATGTTTTCGTTAAAGTGTCTAATTATATATGTATAGCGAATGCCGTTATAACATTTACTGTATCAACGATTAATAGAAACAGGCTGGAAAATAAATTTTTTCAATTGCTCGAATAACATCGAATAAACATCGTATGGACATTTGCCGCGCACTTGGTTCCTAAATTCCCAAGGAACAAGCGTGGTCGGATATGACTGTTTCTTACGATCGCGCCACGAGCGGTGGCGCAGGTTTTTGGCGGGATAACAAGCCGGAATTTGTCAGTATCGGTGGAATGGAAAGAATTACTGGAAACGATACGAGAATTCCGATGGTCTCGCATTCCGATTGACCAATTACGCCATTTCGACCAAATCTTATCCCTGCTTTCTTTCCACGCATGATTCCCTTGTTTCATCGCGTACAGAGAATACAAAGTTCCCTTTCGTATCACACGTTTCGCAGACTTCTTGTGTACTCGCGTTGCGTTTTATACGTAGAGCGAGAACACTCTGTCATGTCGGGAATTCTCTTTCTCACGTTTCAGAGGGAAAAATGTAAAATTGCGACGCGCTTCATGGAAAGTGAATATTTATCGATTTTATTTTGAGTTTCTTTCTCCGGCTGCCTCTTGTACAACGACGAATCGGGAATTCGACAAGATAAAGCTGCAGGTTATTGGTAATGGGAGAAAATTTTACGACTCTTTAAATATAGAAATTCTCAACGATATAGTAATCGATATAAAATAATTGATTTGTACAATTCGTTCGTCGAACTTTATTGACCAACAGTTATTATCCGAGTTGTCGTTCCGTGAACATCGATCAAAAATAATATCGGTTGAATGCTGCGAGTGAATTCCGATCGAATCTTTCGATATATCGATGAATTATTCTAATTAACTCGTTACCGAATGGTTCTTTAGGTTGAGCGATATTTATCATGGTTTTACATTTTTATATTTACTGTTCTCGGAATTTCAGGATTTTCGAATACGTAGATTCTTCCGAAACGTGGCTCGCTGGATCTTCCGACTCTTCGTCTACGTGCATTCTTTCATATTAATGGAGAAAAAGAGATCGGAACACCTGTTTCTCTCCCAACACGCGCAGGGTTGTCTAGCGACGAAACAAAAGACATCCTTCGCTCGTTTGGACGAATGCAAACTCGTTGGATGGTTCGACAAAGTCGAGCACCACGCCCCATTCTAACTGAACCGGCATCAAGCAAAAACATTTGCCGCAATTATCGCCGATTTAGAGTATTGTTTCAACGGGACTTGTTTAAGAACTTGCTAATCGCCTGACCTAATACAGTAGAAGGATGTATCTCGGCTAACTGACCCGAACTTGGTGTTTCCTTTGCCTAGATACCTGTCACGGTCGCGTTCTGTCAGCAGCATCAAAAATTCCATCCTTCTCAAAGAAACTTTCCGTCGATTTACCGGTCGCGCCTCTCGCGGTTAAATACTCATTACGGTAGAAAACAGCTAAACGCTCAAATTGACTGAAACAACGACGATATCGCTCGGACGACTGCTTTTGCCTAGATCAGCGATGTTCAATCTTTTTCGCTAAAATTCTGCCACACCCGCGAGAAATATATTTGCTCGGAGACGGAGCATTTACAGCGGACGACTACTCTTGTGTCTGACGATCTTCTTTCGACGAAGATTTAAGAGGAGCAGCTCTTTGATACGTCGCCTAGCCTATAGCAGTTAGATAGATTCTTCAGGTTTTGTCTCACAAGTGACATTATAAAAGGAATTATGTAAAGAGACTTTAAGTAATATTATAGAATTATGTAACAACGTTTGTGTATTTTCCTTTGCTTATCATACTCTTATAACCAACATTGCTTGTAACGTTTATATGTTACGTCGATTAAGAAGGAAATAATTGTTCAAGAAATCAGTTCAAACTATCTGTTAACGCTTACGCCCGACTTTCTACTTTGTAAATGTTTGCCTTGTCGAACTTTTGTTTACTTATAATTATAACGCTTGTAATTGGGTATACAGGGTGTTCCGCGTAACGCGACTCACCGTTCTTCTGCCATTCGCAGGTATACAAAACAAGATGTTTTACAGATAAATGTTTATAGATTACCGTACGCTTTATTCTAACGTCGTTCAAATCTTTTGCAGAAGTCTGAACGAGCTGTTAGAACTGGCTGGATGTTACAACTCTACACGCTGTAGTAATTTCTTTATCCGAAATGTGAATAATTCTGGAGTGTAACTACGAGTGAAATATTTGCATCGAGTTAATAAAAGTATCACGTGATATGCTTTTTGAATCTGTCGTAAAGTCTTCTCGAACCTCGTGAAAAAAGGACGTGTGGTCCTATTTATGTTAGCCATGACGACCTCTGTTTCACTACGAAGACAAAGTATTTTTGGAATATCTTTTCTGCACGCTCGACGCTCTTAAATTATAGTTGGAAATCTCTGTTCTTACATCGACAAGTTGCAGAAAAATAGCGAATCGAGTTACGCGGTACACCCTGTATATTGAACTCCATTTTACATCTATGCGTAAATGTATCAAAATCGGAAGAACCCGTTAAATTCATATTTTTCTAGATCCAAAGCACCAGTTTGATCACTTAATTATATGTCACGCGAAAAAATTACTGCTTCATCATTACTGCACACAAATATTTCTTATGTATTTTAAATATTTGACTGCATCGATTAATATACCTGCTCCACTTTACAATTGATCTCTTCTATACATACACATCCATACATTTCTATTTATAAATTTACGTGCCTTGTTTTCTATACAATTTCCATGAAATTAATTTGACATTTGAGAAAGATATTTATTACATAACAATATTTATTTCTCTTAGAAAACTACATCGTTGCTGTAATACAAAAAGAAAAGAAGAAGAAGAAGAACAACTGGAGCATCGATTTACAAGACAATTCACTGATTAATAAAAAAAATATAACGAGCTGATATACGAGTCAATATATCTGAGAAGTTAAACCGATCAACTGGCTCCGCTTTTTACCAATTTCTCAGTTTCATTACGTAAGTTGAACAGCTATACCTAACTTTAAAAAAAAAAACAGGCTACTTACGTTCCATAGCTTCGTGACAAAGAAAATGACATAAACGATAATAAATTGCGCAAGGTAATCTTAAAAAATAGTATTTGCAACCTCGTCGCGTGTCTACGCTTAGAATAATAGAAACTTTATTAGCTCCAAATTTAACCGATCACCGTTTAAACACCAGAACAAGAAAATCGACGTGCAAATAGATCTTTCACTGCGCGCCAGATCCAACCAAAACGAAGCTCAACCGACTTAATCGCACTAAATCGTAACAGCCCCATGGAAAAGTCGAACGGTCTGATTAAAAAATCAAATACGATAATACGATCGTCCGAAATGATCAATCATCTATAACCGAATTTACGTCTGAAATGCTCCTAGACGACGCGACGACGTACGTAAGAGTTGTAACAATTAGGGCTTTTAGCGCTGCACGTTGGATTTGCTTAACGTTCCTGGTGATACAGTTACCGGTAACCCAACAGAGTATGTTTGAACTGGACCCACGAATCGTTCAGTCGTTCCTTGGAGTTTATCAACGACGGTTCCTCGGCCGAGGTTCTCGTCGTGTGACACTCGCCTCTGAAACCACGGGGCAAACATCTGAAAACGTGTACGCACGTTCCATGTGTTTGGAGATCGATGAACTCGCGACCATCGTCCACGGGGAATGAACGTTCGTATCGAGGAATCGGCCAGTGGTGAGTCATTGTCGTTTCCATGAATCGACAAAGATAGAGTGAAGGAGAAGTGTATATAGAGATACGTGTTGACGGATGAGAGGAACAGGACGTGTCATTCTTCGAGCAACGAGGGTCCCTTGAAGAATTTGCTGCCATCGAACAGTACAATTATGGGTAGATATCGTTGGATATAGTAGATGCACAGATTCCATGTAAATCGCTAAAGTGTCCAGGATCAATGTAGGAATTTTCAGTAATAATCGATCGCTGTTCAATCGCAAAACAGTCACGGCGTGAAGCATAATGATATAACGTATTTTGATGTGAACTGTGGCTGTAGAAATTCTACGAGCAAGTGCGAAAATTAACGTGTAGCAATAATCTGATAATAATCTATGGCTGTTGAGAAACGTGAAACGGCACCGATGAGAGTCATTATAGTACAGCGATCTGTGATATTTAACGCGTAGATGTACAGATTTCACGCAGAGTGCGATAATCAACCTAGAAATCTGTAGTAACCCTTTTATCGCTGTTCTAAACAGTTGAAACAGTAACGGCGTGATATATCGTACGGTAGTTTGTTAAACGTACGAACCGTAGATGTACAGATTCTATGTAAATGATGCAAGTGCGATGAATATGGTAACCTTGTTGCTGTTCTAAGAAAAATCTTGTTGTATATTTCAGACAGAGTACAAACAAATTTAGCCTATCACTGTCTTCTGCTTCTTGTTTGCGTTTCCCATGCCTCAATGAGTGAATCGACTTTAGACGAAATCGAAACACTTCCGGAGATCAAGAAATACGAAGACGCTTCAACGCTCGGCACTGCTGTACAGGCATACAGGTTTTCTTTACATGGAAGAATTATTTTTGTGAAATTATTCCTCTATATAATTGATATTCAGTCGATTAAATTCGAAGCGTTGGAGCGAGGTTAATAAACATTTATTTTCTCTGACTTTCGATTAGACATCCAAGGATGTATCGGCGCGGTTACCACGAGGACCACGGGTCCATATATAAGGATGACCACGATGATCATCACGACGATCATATGAAAGACGAGGAACAGGCTATGAAAGCCATGGGGAATGCAAAATCTGATTATTGGGGCGGTTACTATGATTTTCTGATAAACGAGGGTAGTTATAAATTCTGGGCCGTGTTTCAAGTAAGTTTCGATCAATTCTTATTAGATTGTTATACACTTGCTGGCCTTAGGTATTATACGACACACGATTCGTCACATTTGTTAAGAAACCTTGAACGTTTCAAAGGGAAACTTTACGATAACATCGGAACGAGAAATCGTATCAAAGACATATCATTTTTTCGGTATTTTACTCGAAGTAATAGAATTTCAACTGAATACGGAAATTCATAGAAACTGTTAACAGCAATTAGATGCAATCGCAAAATTTCAAGTCGACCGTATGAAACGCATTACTGTGCAATGTACGTTTATATGGAGTTGCGCGCGTTCTTCGCATTCCGCGCTCATTCGCGTCACGAATTCGATCGAGATTAGCCGTATCAACTAGGAGAGCCGTGATAGAATATGTAGGTATGTTAAAAATATTCGTACCAAATAAGGCGTTTGTCGAAATTTTTCAGAGCATTTAACGCTCGTCGGTGATTGTTAACGTGTAACTGTAATGCTCCATTTCCACGCGCAAAACTGTTGAAAACCGTTACGATTAAATTTACAACGCTGGAAATTAAATTACCGGATTTTAATTAATTGTATAGAGTTAAGGAGACTTTCTGCATTTTGTAATTAAAAATTTGTTCTTTCCCAACCGCTCTATTAATCAAGAGTACTAATGTTCGTAAGAGACACAATTAACGCGACGATGCAAGGTTTGTAGAATCCACGATACAAAAATTCGTTTACTTTGTAATTTCATTTATCGTTTTGGTACTCCGGTACCTCTTTGAAAATACACTTGGCGCTGCTCGAAATTCGAACGTTCGCCCGATTCGTTTGTACTTATTATCAAATATTTATACCAACGCTAACTTTTATAGAAATGAAAAAGAAAAGAACGAGATCGAAAGTATTAGTCGCATAACGTTGGTTTCGACCTTCCACCTCTGAAGAACTTGGTGCAATTCGCTATTTCGTTCGTTGTATAGTAATGCATTTTGTATTGTAGAAATATAGTAGAATATAGAACGAGTATAAAATACGAAACATCTCGAGAGATATAAAACACAAAAAGAGAACGATTTAACATGGAAAATAACGCAACTAAATAAATGCGCTCTTTAACAGCTTGCCACCGCAGCTCTTCTCATCTATAGCGGCTTTGCGGCGCTTTATTACGCCAAGGTAAATCCGCCAACGATAGACGACGAGTTCGACGATATTTTACGTCGACGGAAGCGTAGGGCGTTGTCCATCTTCCCGCGAGATAAATCATTCTGCGGTTTGGACAGTGCCACTTTTCAGAGGATAATCGACGCGGTTGCCAGAGAAATTCACTGACGAAGAAGAGCCTACCTTTATCTAACTTAACTTATATAGGAAATAATATATGTATAATAATTTTGCAATAATATTTTGAAAAGATTGAAATCTTTGAAATTGCGGTCGATGAAAGTGATTGGAGAAAAGAAAAGGAACTGTTTCAAATTGGACTGTTTCATGGAAGATTTGTTATATTCGAAACATTAAAATTACAGATACGTATCCTTTTCTAATCGATTTAAGAAAAAGTATGTCTTTATGCTTCTCTTTCTATTATTTAATGTAACAGAAGAGCATTGCCTTGCATGTTCTTCTTATCGTGTTTGTAATTAATTTATAACAATTATGTTAAATTATATTGTAATTTGTACATATATGTAACAATTATATGTATATGTGTCATATTGTCGATGCAACTTGTGTACGTTGCTTTTCTGCAGATTTCTTTACCGTCACGAACGCAACGCATGAGAAGATAGTTATCCTTCAACTCGTACCGCGTAACGTTTGCAACACGTTGAAATACAAAAAGACAGAACAACCTGAAACCATAAACTTCCTTGATAATCTCGCAGCTTATCGTCATTAACTTATTCTAAATCTTCTCATCGACAGCAACTTTCGCATATACTTTCGCTCGTACGCGTGTTATTACGAGGCGCATATTTCAGAAAAACTATTCACACAGAACGTCGATAACGTACATACGTTTACGATAAATACACCTTCTAGTTGCTGTATAGGTGTTTTCAGATCGATTGAAAATTTCACCAATACAACATGACGGTGGGCGTCGTATCTCGCAACGCGGTATCGATAAAATTTCAAACAGTACAGAACGCGTGGAAACAAAGTCTGTACGAGTCGTCGAGATACTTCGATAAGCTGCACGTCCACGGTTGACTAATGGAAAAGAAGCGAACTCGCTGGTGGCAATTTGTCGAAAGCGACAAGATCCAGCATCAAGGCCATCGCGTGCCATTGCGTGTCGAGGACACGCAACAATACGTTCTCGCGCTGAATGAGACATCTCGAGCTTGAAATTAAGCGATCCACCGATTAATATCGTCTTATTAAACGATTTCGCGGCTCGTGTAAATTATCGCGGTAAGCACGGGTTTACGGC